AAGGGTCTCGACTCACAAGAGTCAACGTTAGGACTTAGCTGGCACTGTCCTACAGATGTCCTGGGATATAAGCACCGCCCTATCACCTACTCCACAGTTACGCTGCGCAATGTGTACAAGGTACTAGCTACCCAGTATGACCCACTAGGGCACATATGTCAGAGTCAAGGCCCGCGGGCCAGATGCGGCCCGTGGAGCATTTTTATGTGGCCCGCGAGATAAATATCAAAAATATATTAAAACTGGCCCGCTGGCCGATTTTACCGCAAAGACTTCAACTCCCATGATGCTTTGCGGCGTCAGCGCGGAGGCGACGCGCCCCCTCCTTTGTGTTTTTTCCAGCCGGAGGCAGTCAGGGGTAGTTGGGTGTCTGCAGCTCCGCTGTCTCGGACAAACTACACTCCTCTCACTCAGCGCCGAGTTCACTCAGCTGTTTTCTGACGTTGAAGCCCAGAAACGGAGATTCTAGCCGCTCAGTAATGTGTTCACGACTTAAAGAGGAAGTTTTCCAACTAACGTCCAGACAGAGCCGATATAACTCCAGCGAGCAGCGACACGCTCAAACCAGCATGACTCTGTGGCTGCTGTCGTGTTTCCTCCCCGACACACAACAACGTGGTCAAGCTGCTCAGACATGTTCATCAGCACAAACCTATGTGAGCACCTGTTGTCATCTAATGTTGTCATTATTATGATGAAGATGAACAAAACAACAGGAGTCTCCTCCTCAGCTCAGATCAACCCCATGGTGCAGGTATCTGGCTGGAACAGGTGAGCATCACAGTAAACCAGTGGAGCAAACTGAGCTTTAAATATGTTGGTTTTATGTTCTTTTTCTGCTCCACAACATGAAAGTTAACAGGTGAGATATTGCATTTTCATTTAAGATAAAATGATATTTTTATTTTGTTGTTGGCCCGTGAGAAAAGATTTAACCTACAGTAAACAGGAAGTGGAAAGGCTGCAGATAGATGAATAGAATAGAAAATCCCTTTATTGTTCCTCAGTGGGGAAAGCTAGACGTCACAGCAGCGATGACACTTATAACAGGAGAAAAAAAGGAATAAAAAATAAGAAAAATGAATAATCAAGAAAACATAAATCCTGAATAGATTTTAAAAATGCTGATTATACCACAAGTAATGAATACCACTGATGCGTTTAATTTAAAACGGACTTGCTCGTGTGTAATTTGGTTATTCCACATTCAGTGTTAATGCAGAAATAAGTTTGTTTCCTAATTTAAAGGTTCAAAATTGCATATATATTGATAAAGAAAATGTGCAAATTTGCCGTCACTTTTTAAAAAAATACTAAGTTTGGCCCTCGACTCCGTCCCAGAGTCTCATTTCGGCCCCTTGTGAGATTGAGTTTGACACCCCTGCACTAGGGTATATTTGTCCCTACACTACAAGGGCCAAGCTGATAGTACAGGCCCTGTGGAGCACAGAAAGAGAGTGGGATGAGCCCATCGAAGGGAATCTACTTCAGTCCTGGCTTGAGTGGGAATGCGAACTGTTACACCTTCAGCATGTCACCATCCCCCGCTGCTATGCTTCCCCTCATAACTCCAGCGATGTGACATACGAAGCTCACGTATTCTGTGACGCATCAGGGTTATCGAGCAGCAATGGCCTATCATCACATAATTCCTGATGGCTCGCTCCAGAGTGGCCCCAAGCAAGCAGGTGTCAATGCCCTGGTTGGAGCACTCACAGGAGCCCAATTGGCCAGATTACTTCAGACAGAGCTCACTGTTCCCATACAATCACTTTATCTGTGGACAGACTCTACCACGGTGCTGCAGTGGATCCAATCTAGTTCCTGTCGCTACAAGGTATTTGTGGGGACTCAAATCTGTGAAATACAGGAGCTGACATCTCCTGACCAGTGCCGATATGTGACCTCCGAGCTCAATCCTGCTGATGATATCACCAGAGGAAAACATCTCGCTGACCTAATAGCCCCTAATCATTGGTCACATGGTCCACCTTTCCTATCACAAGCTGCTGACACTTGGCCTAAGCTGCCAACAGAGTTTCCAGCATGCAATGAAGCAGAGCTCAGGAGGACTGCATTCTGTGGGCACGCTTCAGTATCCCCAACCTCACCGGATCCAACGCAGTATGCCTCACTAGATGAGCTGATCGCTGCTACGTACAGGACCCTACACGGGGCAGCCAACACTCCTGTTACAGCCACGGAGCGAATAGAAACCAAGACCATGCTGCTTCGCTCGGCTCAGACCGACAGCTTCGCAGAGGAGACCAAAGCCCTCCAGACCAGTCACCCAGTCCGCTCAGACAGCCGTCTTAGCGTGCTGTCCCCTGAATATGACAGTCTTACTGGTCTCATCAGAGTCGGAGGTCGTCTTCATCAAGCTGCAGACTTAGGTCCAGACAGCATTCATCCCATCGTATTAGCAGCTGAACATCCCCTGACTAAACTCATCATAAAGACTTATGATGACCAGCTCCTTCACCCTTGTGCAGAGAGGCTATTCATGGAGTTACGGCGCACCTATTGGATTCTCAGAGGATGTCAAGCCGTGAAGAAACACCAGCACCAATGTGTGGACTGTAGGAGATGGCGTGCCTCACCTTCTGCACCCAAGATGGCTGACTTACCTTCCTCGCGACTGAGACTTTTTTGGCCATACACAATAAAGATAGGTTGTAGAAGAGAGAAACGCTGGGGAATCATCTACAAGTGTCTTACAACTAGATGCGTGCATCTCGATCTCCTCCCCAGTCTCGACACAGATTCCTTCCTTATGTCATTACGCAGATTTATCGCACGCAGACGAAAGCCATACGAGATGTGGTCTGATCGAGGGACCAATTTCAGAGGTGGTCAAAGAGAACTCCAAGCAGCGTTTGAAAACATGGAGCCTGACCTCAAGCAGCAACTAGCCATGCAGGCTATTAACTTCTGCTTCTATCCCCCACACTCTCCTCATTTCGGAGGAGCCTGGGAAAGGGAAATCAGAGCAGCGAAGTCAGCTCTGCAAGTAGTCCTGAAGAACCAAGTTGTGGCAGAAGAAGTCCTCCTCACAGATCTCGTAGAGGTTGAGGGCATTTTGAACTCAAAGCCGCTTGGCTATGCATCGGCTGACATAGCCGACCCAGATCCCATCACACCAAATCTTCTATTGATGGGGCGGCTTCATTCGGCACTACCCCAGGCAGTCTACGGCCCCTCAGGCACTCTTTCGACCAGAAGATGGATACACAGTCAGGTCATCAGTGACCACTTCTGGAAGCGGTTCATACAGAACTACCTCCCGGGACTGCAACTCCGACAGAAATGGAGGAAGTCTACTGACAACATGACCGTGGGACAAGCTGTTATGATTGTAGACTCTAATCTGCCTAGAGGCCTCTGGCCTGTGGGTACCATTTCCCAAGTTTTTCCAGGGACTGATGGCATTGTTCGAGCTGCCGAAGTCAAGGTCAAAGACATTCTCTATGTTCGCCCGGTGACTAAGCTGGTGGAACTCCCCAAAGTCCCTGAGGACTCAGATGATACTGTTCCGCAATAGAATGACTTTAGCATGTGTGTATTTGTATCCATACAAATACAGGGGCGGCTGTTAAAAGTCCGCTTGGTCACTTTAACCGTTTAGACTACGTTACCCATGATGCACCTCGGTATCTGTACTTCCGGTTGGGAATGTGTTTAGCGCAGTTCAGCACAGCTGAAAGGTGTTGGATGATCAGCGTTTTTCTCATGCGTTCCTGTGTGGGTTACCCTCGGTGTGCGTGTTTATCATGTGAGTATCATAAGACGAGAGCGATGCTTATTTGACTTTATCTGTGAGTTGCTCGGTGTAATTCGCTAAGTAAGAAGCTGGTCCCGTTGCTATTGCTAAGCTGCGGGCTCTTTTGGCCTACTTCAGGCAGCCTTGGTTGCAGCTTCTATGGCATTCCATATGCGACTTACTGTCAAGTATGGTGGTTGGAGGTGGATGAAACTATTTACTGTGTTTATTATTGGACCTGTAGAGATCCTGTTTGCGAATGCATATACCAACTAGAAACTCATGTATGGTTTAGGGTGGCATCTAGCGGCTATGAGGTTATAGCAGGTTATATAACGTCATGTTGGAAACCACAGTGCTATATAAACGGTACACTGCTTTTCATAAGGCTTAACACGAATGTTGGTTCTGTCTGTTAACAGATCACCATACCTACATACTCCTACACACTCACAATCCTTTACCTGCATTGGTATACAGGAATGCAATTGCCTCACCGCTAACGTTGTACAACCTGTTGATATCATCTGCCGCCTCCTTAATAAAGCTACTTGGACTACATTGCTGTGGAGTGCCAATCCTTCTGACCGAGGACGACTCAGTTGAAGCGTGATGGCAATCAGTGCAAAGAATCAAACAGTGAGCATGTAAACAAACACTAGCATCAATAGCTATTCTTCCAAGAGCAACCAACATATGTCATCGCCCCCAGAGTGCATTGCGTGTGAAAAACATGGCGTCCTACATATTTAAAAAAAATGTACTAAATAAATATTATAGATTTATAAATAAACAGCAGTATTTTGTGTGTTTCTAACAACATAGTTTGGTACAACAGAAAACTTGTGGCTTATTAGGGCACACACGTCCTCATAGCCGGAGTTCCTTTTAACAAGATAGGGGCTACATTGCAATCAACCAAATGTTTGAAAAAGATTGAAAAACAGCAAATATGAATAGTTCCCTTTCCAGTTTAAATGAAGAAGCTCTGAAAGAAACAAAACTATAATATTTATTATGAATAATGTCCTCGGTGAGTGCTGTTAGCTCCAACCAGTGCTGAGGGAAGCGAGCACACACCGTTTATCTTAGAATATCTCTTCTTCTAAAGAGCATGACTCATTTTTATAGGTAGCTACTTGTGTGCAAAGAAGCAAACATAGTAAGACTTTCATTAAAGGTAGAGTAGAGAAATTATAGAAGAGATGTTGCTAAAAAAATGACTCATTACAGCTAAAGATGTGCTCCAAAGTGAGCCGAAGCTTTATTTAGTATGTTCTTTCTTATCTGTGCTCACCTACATGTGCAATAAAAAATAAACCAACAACTCTGTTCATCACAAATAAACATCAAATTGTGTAAAATTGACAAATAGAAAACAAATAAGAGATAAAAAAAGATAATCATTACACGTGTTGTTAAACATGACCGGACAGATTACGTAACTCAATAAATGCTAATAACTGCCTCTAGCAAAAAATCTCACAAGTGCACTATGTCTTTGCCTAATACATTGTGTTTATTTTTAGTTTATACATTATTAGAAATGCTTGTGAAAAATACTTAAAAACGCATCATGCATTAACCCTCTCAGGCTCTAAATGAGTTTTGATAAAAGGACGAACAACTGAGTCCTTCAGGGGTACTTCTGAGTTAAAAATGCTCATGAAACACGTGTGTGGAGTAACCAGGTGGGCAGGTTTTAACGTTGCAGGTTTTAGCCTTGCAAATCTGCAACGCCTGCCTCCAGAGGGTTAAATCACTAACTATTTTCCTGTCAGTAATGCCAGATAATAATTAAAAACTAAATAATTTTTGGTTTCTTTACTCACATCTATAGAAAAAAATATATCTGTTTATTTTCCTTCACAGAAAAAATGAGTCCTTTTCACTCAGTGCAGTGTAAATGACACTTTTATGTCACAGTGAATAGCATATATCTACGTCCACAATTCCATTAGGATACTGTAACATAAATGTGTAAGTAGCTCTTAAGAGGAGTGAGAGGAACTCCCTGAGAGCATCATCGCTTGTAAACGTGCACTTTCTCTCTACATCTCGGACAGGAGTGATGTGCATCCTGCAGCCGTCGCATCCATAAAGGAATCAAACAGAAACCACAGAACAACCTGAAACACACAAAATCAACCAGGTGGATAAAGATTACGAACCTGAGACCTCAGCTGTGCGGCTCGTGTGTTTTGATCTTACCCCATTAGTGCAAACAGCACACATGTACACCAAGCAGAACACCCCGGCACGTATTTGACTTCAGTTGTGACAAGTTCATTACAGCACGGACACCAGATCAAACCGGGGGCATCTCTCAGACTCGTCACTGTGATGGGGACGGGTGTTGGCTGGGACACAGCGACCACTGTCTGAGCTCGTCTGCTGCTGGCCGCTGCCAGTTCACCAACTGTCATCCAGAGGTCAAAAGTAGACATAGAATGTTTAATAAAAACAAGTAACACTCATTAGTTGTTGTAAAGTAATAAAAATAATCTGTTACTTTGTGTAAGTGGATGCACCGTGACTCCAGGGGTGTGTGATGGTGGGATCCCAACTGGTGCAGAGAGTGGAGTCAGGACAGGGAAAACATCTGGATGGACTGTTGATAGAACATAATGACTTATCAATTTAAAGGTAGTTTGTTTTTTTTCACAATTGGAAACTGTTCTTCAAGCCTCTATATGGCATATTGAGGGATTTGGATGAATGAGGAAAAGGACGACCCACAGCCTGTAGATCACCTATCTGGCATTCATTTACAGTAAGGAAATTCCCAGTACATCCTGGAACAGAGGGGTGCTCCAACATTCTTCGTTGTTGTTATCCTCTCGTCCAACAAGGATTTTATCAGTACCTCAGGCTAGTGTTAGCAATAGCTGTGGCCTGTTCAAATGATTACCACGCACTCGCACATGAAGTGCTTTGAGAGGATCATCCTAAGGCACATCAAGGACACCCTTCCTGCTGGTGTGGACAAACACCAGTTAGCCTACTGGGAGATCTAGTCAACAGAAGATGCACTCAGCCCTGACCAACACATTCACACCTACGGAGCATCCTAACTTAGATGTTAGGGTGCTTTAACTTCAGTTCACTGTAGCTGATCGAGAAGCTCCACAACCTGTGATTTTCAAGATCAATGTGCCTCTGGATCAGGGATGTTCTCAGCCTAAGAGAATGGGGGACTGCTCATCATCCACCCTGGTCCTGAACAGGGGCACACCACAGGGCTGTGTGCTCAGTCCAGTTCTTTCCTCACTAATTACATACACAGTCACCCACACCTGAAACATAGTCCTGAAGTTTGGGGAGGACACCATCTTATAACAAACAATGCTGACACCCTCTACATATTATATACAGGTGCTGGCCAGTAAATTAGAATATCATCAAAAGGTTGAAAATATTTCAGTAATTCCATTCAAAACGTGAAACTTGTACATTATATTCATGCAATGCACACAGACCAATGTATTTCCGATGTTTATTACGTTTAATTTTGATATTTATAGGTGACAACCAATGAAAACATCAAATCTGGTATCTCAGAAAATTAGAATATTCTAAAGGCAAATGAAAAAATGTTTGTTTCTCTAATGTTGGCCAACTGAAAAGAATGAACATGAAAAGAATGTGCATGTATAGCACTCAATACTTAGTCGGGGCTCCTTTTGCCTCAATAACTGCAGTAATGCGGCGTGGCATGGACTCGATCAGTCTGTGGCACTGCTCAGGTGTTATGAGAGCCCGGGTTGCTCTGATGTCGTCTTCAGCTCCTCTGCATTGTTGGGTCTAGCGTATTGCATCCTCCGCTTCACAATACCCCATAGATTTTCTATGGGGTTAAGGTCAGGCGAGTTTGCTGGCCAATCAAGGACAGGGATACCATGGTCCTTGAACCAGGTGCTGGTGGTTTTGGCACTGTGTACAGGTGCCAAGTCCTGTTGAAAGGTGAAGTCTGCATCCCCATAAAGTTGGTCAGCAGCAGGAAGCATGAAGTGCTCTAAAACTTCCTGGTAGACGGCTGCATTGACCCTGGACCTCAGGAAACAGAGTGGGCCAACACCGGCAGATGACATGGCACCCCACACCATCACTGACGGTGGAAACTTTACACTGGACCTCATGCAACGTGGATTCTGTGCTTCTCCGCTCTTCCTCCAGACTCTGGGTCCTTGATTTCCAAAGGAAATGCAGAACTTGCTTTCATCAGAAAACATAACTTTGGACCACTCAGCATCAGTCCAGTCCTTTTTGTCCTTGGCCCAGGCGAGACGCTTCTTGCGCTGTTTCTTGTTCAAGAGTGGCTTGACACACGGAATGCGACACCTGAATCCCATGTCTTTCATGAGTCTCCTCGTGGTGGTTCTTGAAGCGCTGACTCCAGCTGCAGTCCACTCTTTGTGGATCTCCCCCACATTTTTGAATGGGTTTGTCGTCACAATTCTCTGCAGGGTGCGGTTATCCCTAGAGCTTGTACACTTTTTTCTACCACATTTTTTCCGTCCCTTCGCCTGTCTGTTAATGTGCTTGGACACAGAGCTCTGCGAACAGCCAGCTTCTTTAGCAATCACCTTTTGTGTCTTGCCCTCCTTGTGCAAGGTGTCAATGATTGTCTTTTGGACAGCTGTTAAGTCAGAAGTCTTCCCCATGATTGTGGTGCCTTCAAAACAAGACTGAGGGACCTTTTAAAGGCCTTTGCAGGTGTTTTGAGTAAATCAGCTGATTAGAGTGGCAGCAGGTGTCTTCTATATTCAGCCTTTTCAGAATATTCTAATTTTTTGAGATACCAAATTTGGAGTTTTCATTAGTTGTCACATATGAATATCAAATTTAAATGTAATGAACATTGGAAATACATTGGTCTGTGTGCATTGCATGAATATAATGTACAAGTTTCACGTTTTGAATGGAATTACTGAAATATTTTCAACCTTTTGATGATATTCTAATTTACTGGCCAGCACCTGTACATTGACTGTCAATACAATCTCCATTGTACTACATTTTGCATTCTTTTCATTTTTGCTTCTTTATTTTTTTCTTTTTCATCACAGAGAGAATAAAAATCTTATGTTCATTTAATGTTCTGTCAGCACATCAACACCTAAAAATCTGGTGTTCTGATAAAGCATTAACTGTAAAGCAGTGATTATGCCATAGATGCTGAGAACGGCCATTTTGGAAGATGAAATCATAAATAGATGTGTCAGGATCAAAAATGATATTAACTTTTAACCTTTCATGTTTTCTTTCTTGGTCAAGCATAAAAGAAGACATAAAGAAACACAAGCAGCAAAATATACATGTTAAAATGAGTATGGTCTGACGAAGAGGAGAGATCCTACCTGCCTCTCTATAAGTGGGAGGTGGTGTCGGTGGTACTGAAGGGATGTTTCTGTGGACAGGTGTAGAGGAGCTGTTTAGTTCCCCCGTAGACTGAAGATGAGGTGGATAGCGACTGGCCTCCTCGTATGAAGGAGGTTCCATTAGGAAATCATCAAGTCAAACAAGTCGATGCTGCTGACAGAGAGGCAGACTCAGATCAAGATAAGAGCCAACCCTTTGGGAAGTCCCCAACGTGTCTTCCAAGTCTTTATTTGGCTTGTCTGCATCTATAACACTGAGCAACATTTTCACACCACTGACTTCTGCATGTGTTATTCATTTTAATATTTAAAGTTGGTTTTGATCAATAAGCATTCAATTTTTTTCTTCAGAATTTGTGGCTTTTTCATGAATTTTCTGTTGTCTGAACAGGAAAACATTTATGGTTAAAACGAATAAATCTGCCAAGTAGAGGACAAAGAAAATGCACCAAGCCTTAAATACTTTCTACAGCAGATGAACAGAAAAAATCCATCCGAGACCTCAGACAGCAACGATTCTTCAGTTGATCATTAACGTTTCAACTAATAACTCTTTAACAATGACCTTCAACCAGCTAAAATAACATGGTGTGTGTGTCTAACTAGGTCAATAACTAGGTTTTTTTTTATTCAGTCAATAAGTTGAAACTAAACAAGCTGCTGACAACCGCATGTCTAAAGACGAGCAGCTGTTTTCATGGGAGTGATTTAAGGGTCAGATCTAAATGACTAACAAACACAGGACTTTTTTAAAGCTACCAAAGTCAGCATAAACACGGGTAAAAACACGTTTAACAGATGCTGGAAAATCAGACTTCTTGGAAGCAAAATATAAAGAATACACCAAGACTTTTGCACAGTACTATTATCGCAGATCTTCAACAACATTTAAAGAACATTCAGATTCAGTAATGGGTGCTGCGAAGGTTCAGATTGCTCTCTCGTTTCCCCTTCATTCACTGTAGTGTAACATTTAATTCTGTTTACTGTTTCAGGTTATTTTCTTTATTTTTTGTTTGTGTTTTTGTTTTTATGTTTGATGGAAAACAAATCCAAATTAATCAGTCTGAATTACCTGCTTTCATCCACAAACTAAAATTAGAATCAGTATGGATGCCTCTCTAAAACAGACGCACACTATCAGATGGAACGTTTCATGTCGGTGAGGTTAATGACTATTCCTGGCCGACAGGTCCGGGAGCACGGTAAAAAATAAAAACACTCTTCATCCGTACTACAAAGGTGAAAGTTAAACAAAGTCTAACATCACAGCTCTGAACGTGTGACATCAAACGCACACTTTTGTGTTTAGCTCAAATTAAACCAAACATCTTCTTCTACAAGGTGGAGACTTTTAGAATCATCTAGAAGATGTAATAAAAATGTTACATTAGCTGTTTAGCTTCAGGATTGTGATACTAATAACCACAATAAATCATCTGACTCTGCACCTCTGATTCTGGTGACATCTCCGCCCTCTGCTGCCACACACGCACACACACACACACACACACACACACACACACACACACACACACACACAACTGAACTGATTTGTGGATCTGTTCTAAACTGACAGAAAAAAAGACACAACAACAAACCCGAGAAGATGAAGTCATGAAACGGTTTGGGGCTGAAAATAGCAGGTAGCCATCGTCAAACCCAAATGTTAAAATCAGCCAGGTTACTTCACAAAACTCGGGGCTTGTGTTCTTATGTAAACAAGACTCATCTAAACACCGGTGTTTGAACTAAAACCTGTTTCCTACATGAGAAACATTCCCTCCAAATTAAATCAGCACTACTGCGGATCTGTTACCAGTAATAAAGCATCGCGTGGGATTTTATGAAGAGAACTGAACTTACCTTGAACAAAGGCGCAATCTGAGCTGGAGAGAGGAAACACCTACCATGTTGATAACGTGTGTGACGTCTCCACTCGTTGAACCTGTTTCCGCCAGGAATTAGAAACATTTCACCTGTCACACAATGAAACCAGCCATCCTGGTTTTTCCTGGGCGGGGATGCTCTCCCCACCCTCTTCACTCACTTCCCTTTGGAAAATTTACCTGATCTATAAATAACTCAGGGAAAATCAGCGATCCAAGATCTAAAGCTCTGATACCAAACATACTCCAGTTTTATTCTGACTGCTTTAGATGTTTGTCAGCATCGTTTCATATTTTAGAAACAAAACTGTCCCACCATACAGAAAAACATTAGTTTCCCTCACAGTTGGACGCTTCTGCTGTTGACAGTAATTAGAAGATCAATGAACTTCCCAATGAGCCTGAAAGCTGCATTAATAACTAACCTGAGCTCCGACTCATCCTACAGTCAAGAACCCAGTACGGCTTTGGGAGGAGAGTCTGACAGGAAATTTACATTCTTATAGTATCTGATTTAGATGTGAACGCAAGCATCGGTATAAGGGTTCGGTATCAGTAAGAGTTAACTGATGCAGTGGCTGAACTGTAACTTGTCATTTCTGTTCACCTAATATTTTAGTGTTGTGATCATTTCTATTCATATATTTTACTTTTTATCTACCTCACAGTCTATTCCTGTTGAAAGCAGAGAAGAACATAAAGCCTGTATTCCAATTCATTGCATTTTTTTGTGTGGTAGAAGTATCGGTACTCAGATCCATATCGGTTTGGTAAAAGTGGTATCGGTGCATCCCTAATTAGTATTAATTGGTGTTTTTCCATTGTTGAAACTTCAGAGTAAATTCTGGGAGGGGGAAATTGAACTGGAGATACAATACGATGTCCCAGTAGCCTGGCAAGCCAGAATAAATAAATATATTATTTTGTAAATTTTAGTCAGTCTGGCAACGCTCCATTGACTCTTTGTCGTGGGCCGGGTTCTACTGTTGTCTTTCAAATGATTTCCACATGCTACTGGATAACGAACAACGTGACACACTCGCCGCAACGGTAAACAAGGCAGTCCGCTGTTGAGAACGGCCCACCAAGTGTATAGATCGCTGTGATTGACCCACCATTGTGGACCATTCACAGCACTCTATTGGTTTGAAACCCCTCTAAAGAGCTGTGATTGGCCCGCCACAGTGCTGCCAGGGACTGCGGAGGTTCCAGTGGAGCGTTCCTAGACTAAACTTTGCACAACAAGAATTTGGTCTAGTTCACTACGCAAATTTCCCAGTCGTCTCAGCTGCTGTGTCTCTTACAAACTGAGCTCTTCGAGGACGTCAGCATATCGCGGCTGCTTCAGCAGTGCCTGATGTCTCTGATGAGCGCCAAAAAGCATCTGCAGTAACTTTAATATCATTACAAGTTTTTTTTCTGTCCAAATACATCATAATTTAATCCATTCCAAGGTGGAGAGCGCCGCATGATGTAAATTATGATGTTCAATTACCAGAAGAAGCTAAGTTTTCTCACAAAGCTCTGTGAGACAACAGAGCCCCGTGAATGAAGTCGTTGTGGGGAAATTCCATCGTCTTTTTGTTGGGAGTTTAGTAACAACAATTTAAAGCTGCATAACTTTGGTACCTTTGTTCTTTTGCTTCCATTCTGCTTCACAAGCAACTCTTCTAATTTTACTAACGCCAGTTGTTTTGGAAGGCATCTGCTGATGTCATTTCCTACAGAGTTACAACCAATCAGCATGAGCTAAACAATAGTTCCACTCAGCCGGGCCTTTCCAATTATTATTTTACTGTCTATATCATTTTCTTTATTACTTATTTTCTAATTTTTGTCATTTATATTTGCTCTTTTATTAAATTTTTACTCTTTCTTCCGGCGCTCACAGAGAGCAGTCGCTTCTGCCTTTTCCTCCCTTATCTGTGTTTTCCCAAGGCTCTTTTTGTCCCGTCTGCCTACAGAGCGCTTCTCTGCATTTCCTCTGCAATCACCTTTTTCAGCATTTTTCAACATGGACTTAATTAATTGGTCATTCAACGCGATTGATAAGATTTTTTCTACAATGAGGACGGAGGAGGGGGCTCACGCTTGTCCTCAGGGGACACATGCAGCGGGATATATGTTTGATTCCTGGAAGAAGTGGAATATCATCTGTCTCTCTCAGCTGTCCATTGAGGACGTCGAAGATTTGTGGATATTTGGCCTGATGATCGTTGGATTTCTTCTGATTAGAGTGGGAGGATATCTGGCTTTCCGTAAAATTGGGATGACGGGAGCGATTGGAGGGCGACCCGCATCCATGGACGGCACCGTCCGTGTGGATACCTCACAGACTGGGACGTTGATCGAGGTGAATCGCAAGCTGGACAATGTCTTAGCTGCGTTACCGGTGTTAGCGCGCAGGATTGATAACATCTCGGAAAGGGTCACCGGACGGTGTGGAGATGTTTAATCACTGAATTGGCTTCACTGGAGGACTTGAATGATCAATACAGACTTAAGGCAGAGAGGAAAAATTATCTCTGTCTGACCCAAACAAAGTTTCTGTTATCGAATCTGACGCCACAAGCAGCCTTGGAGTTGCATGCAAAACCCCCACGCTGGAAGAAATGCTGACAAATGCTGTGAATCTCTATCCACCCACCCCCCCGCCTTCAGATTGTGGTCTCCACCGAGGTCATCGAGATGAAAGACTCACTGCTCTCTATGCTTCCTCATGACCGCCCTCCCACCTGCGGAGACAGCTGGTTGAGCGCCACACAGGCAGCCCCCGCTGAGGAAACCAGGATCCCAGCCCCTCCCCCCACCTACCGGGTCTCATGTTGTGAACTGTGACGTTTGTTGCTTACATGTCGGGTGTTGTTTTTGCATTAGAGTGCTACACCCTGCTGGTGTAACCCTGTTAATGCCTTTTTTCTCCCTCCCTGAACTTCCCTCATGTATTCCCTTACTCATCTACAAAGGAGCGCCGTTATGGCTGCTCCCATGGTCTGCCTGTATCTGTCTTGTCTATATGTGTGTGTGTGTAACCTTGGTCAGGTTGTACCATGGAGTCAAGTTCCTACGCTCTGAAAGGAGCGCTGGCAATAAAATTCTTCTGATTCTGATTCTGATTCTGATTTTAATCCAGTGTTTCCTCTGTGGGGGCCCTCTGCCCCGGGAGCGGTGGTCGACTGTAGCTTCCTGGGCGCTCTATAGGTGGGGGTCTATGCTCCTCCTCCAATGAGCGCCCTGACTTAGTGTGGAAGACCTGATGCTGCCGGGACAGACGGCTCCTCTGATGGCATTTCCTTGCGTTACCATACTTGGCTCATCTGGACTCAGCCGAATATAATTTTTACTCGTGTGTGTGTGTGAGTCTGTGTGTGTGTGCGTGTGCGTGTGCTTGCATATGTTTGTTAATGTTTTTAACCTGTTATGGGAATCTGGGGTCATTTTGTAAAGCACTTTGAATCACACTTTGTTTGAAAAGCGCTTTAGAAATAAAATTTGATTGATTGATTGAAGTAACTACACCAATTCAGGCACTCCAAAAGGTCCTGAAAATGGCTCGGAAAATGCCCCTTTTAGCCGGCCTGGTGAAGTGGAGACACGCGTGTCGGGAAGTTCTAGTAAATTTACCCTGAAACTCTGGTAGTGGAAACACACCCATTATTATTATTATTATTATTAGTAGTAGTAGTAGTAGTAGTAGTAGTAGTATTGTTATTATTATTAGTAGTAGTATTAGCATTAGTATTAGTATTATTGTTATAATTGTCACTATAATAATTATTATATATTTTTCAATTGTTATTTTTGATTTTTATTTATTTATTTATTTATTATATTACTTCAAATCAAAATGAACTTGGGAAAATGGCATTCCTTAACGGATTTTATTAGAACCTTTGACCACTAGCTAGTTTTTTGGTGGGTAATTCCAAACAAACTTCTTTCGTTTGTGTTTGTTGATTAAAAAAATGTC